TCCGATATCTGGCGACGTCGGCCGACGTCGGATTGAAAACAAACTCAAGGTATTAAATCAGAGTGCCTATACTGCTTCGTCACGGAAGTGACTTGAGTTTATTTCCAATCCGACGTCGGCCGACGTCGCCCGATATCGGATCGGAGAAATACGGTTCCAATGTAGGTGTACACTTACGCGAACCCGGAGTTACACGATTTTCAAATCTCGTCAATTTAAACACGCCATAATTAAAGATTTTTATACAAAAATGAAATTTTATGAATTTGCAAAGAAGTGTGATTTTCAGCATTGGAACCCAGACTAAAAACTGACCACGCCTATGGTCAGTCAAATAAAAAGGAAACATTTGGAGAGCTTTTCAAAACAAATGAAATACGACTTCAACCGAACACAGAGAGACATATTATGAAGAAAGGTCGGAGCAGAAAGAAAAGAGATAAACATGGGCAGATTATAATAAACCACCAACACCAGAAGTGGCGAAAAACGAAGAAATAAACATTGAGCAGGGAGATATAAAGGAAGCATTAAGGAAATTAAAAAAAGAAAAATTACAAGGAGAGAACAGAATACCGAACGAACTCCTAAATTGCGGAGGATCAGATCTGACCAAAAAACTATTAAAACAAATCCAAAAAATTACTAGAACAAAACAGGTTGCGTCAAGAATGGAGATCAAGTATCCTAGCTCCTTTCTTCAAAAAGTGAGACAAATTAAACCCGAAGAACTGCAGAGGAATTAACCCATTAAACATCTTCTTCTTCTTCAGGTGCCCTCTCCGCTACGGAGTTTGACAATCATCATTGCTATTCGTATCTTTGAAGCTGTTGCTTTAAATAATTGGTTAGATGTGCACTGGAACCAGTCTCTTAAATTGCGCAGTCAAGATATACGTCGTCTCCCCACGCTTCGCTTACCCTGAATCTTTCCTTGGATAATTAACTAGAGCAATCGGTACTTTTTCCCTCTCATCACATGACCAAGATATTCCCTCTTTTTTCTCTTGATGGTGATCAACAGCTCCCGTTCTTTGTTCATTCTTCGAAGAACTACACTATTTGTTATTTTGTCTGTCCAAGGTATTTTTTTTATACATTAAACATAACACTAAAATTAACAACCAAAGTGATAACAAATAACCTAACTGAAATTATAATACTAGCAGAAGAACAACAAAGTTTTATTAATTACTATTTAACTGGGAATAAGCCACAATTAAAGATAAAAATACGTTTATTGACGTTTCAATTTCCACTTCGGAAATCGTTCTCAAAATACAAACAGTAAATTAAACAAATTTTGTTTTTTGTTACTTAGTGAAAAATTCTTCTAATAATTTAATTTTATCTGACTCATTTATATTGACAATTCAGACATACATTATGAATTTTAAAGTAGACGACTTAAAATGATATTGCCAATATTGTTGAGTTGCACTCCTGGGACGACTTTACTTAAGAGGATAGTTCATTCGATTACATGAAATCAACTTTAACTTGAGAATATCCGTCAGAAAAAATCATAGCATATAATTCGTCTTTAAAAAGACAAACACATGACATGATGACAGTAAAATTCTCCTGTTAGTGATTCCATAGTAAATTATGAGGGAAAAACCAGGAAAAAACCTCATAATACTATCCCGACCTGGTAAGTATTTTTTCGTGCATTTAGTTTACCTTCAATAAACACCAAAATTCTGATTTTATATGTTTCGTTATTTAAAAAACATAAATGATGTATCCTCTATATGTTACTGACTTACTAATACTGGTAACATTTGTTAACATATGTTTTATTAAAAAATGATTATCCTTTATCGTTTATAATAAGGAATTTTCAACAATCGATCGAATAGAACAGAACATTTTAGAACGAGATCCTACAGCATACACAAGGAATAATACGAGGAAAATAACAATACCGTACATAAAAGGATTATAAGAAAAACTTAAAAGGATAGGCAATAAATTCAACATTTCAACAACATTCAAAACAACAAACACGTTGAGATCTATTTTGTCCAAAACCAAACCTAACAATGAACAAGAAAGGACAAAGAATTGCATTTATAAAATACCTTGTGAATGCGATCAGTTTTATTTAGGTGAAACATCAAGGCCATGAAATGTTAGAATAAGTGAACATCAGTCTTATATTAAAAATAGAGAATTTGAAAGATCTCAAATATGTAAACACGCATGAGATAATGAACATAGGGTTCAATGGAATAATTCAAATGTAGTCCTAAAAGAGACGGATGGTAAAAAAGAAAAATCAAAGAAGCGGCTTTAATTATGCTAAATGAGGCCAATTGTGTAGCAAATTCCTCGGCAGAATGTAGTAGGATCTGGTTACCAATATTGAAAGAGGAAGTTATTAATAAGAAAATACCAGTATTAGTAAGTCAGTTAAATATATAGTATACATCATTTATGTTTTTTAAATAACGAAACATATAAAATCAGAATTTTGGTGTTTATTGAAGGTAAACTAAATGCACGAACAAATACTTACCATGTCGGGATAGTATTATGAGGTTTTTTTCCTGGTTTTTCCCTCATAATTTACTATAAAATCACTAACAGGAGAATTTTACTGTCATCATGTCATGTGTTTGTCTTTTTAAAGACAAATTATATGCTATGATTTTTTCTGACGGATATTTTCAAGTTAAAGTTGATTTCATGTAATTGAATGAACTATCTTATAAGTAAAGTCGTCCCAGGAGCGCAACTCAACAATATTGGCAATATCATTTTAAAGTCGTCTACTTTAAAATGCATAATGTATGTCTGAATTGTCAATATAAATGAGTCAAATAAAATTAAGTTATTAGAAGAAATTTTTACTATGTAACAAAAAACAAAATTTGTTTAATTTACTGTTTGTATTTTGAGAACGATTTCCGAAGTGGAAATTGAAACGTCAATAAACGTATTTTTATCTTTAATTGTGGCTTATTCCCAGTTAAATAGTAATTAATTTAAAATGCCGCAAGAAAGTAGCTTCAGAACAATAACAAAGTTTTATGTCGGGAAGATCATGCATCGACGCTATATTTATATTCAGGAAAGTGCAAGGCAAATCATTAGAATACAAAACTTATTCCGACATATTTATGTTTCTTAAGAAGGCATGCTATCCACTTCTTGTACGCAAGAGAAATACCTTTAGAACTAATAAAACAATAGGAAATATCTACCAGAACAACACAATAAAAGTAAAAGTAGAAGAATTAACTGACCCGATTGAAGCCGGCTACGGAAAGCCCCAAATTGAAGTGAAAGATCAAGCAAATAGAGCTAATGGCGCTCCAGGTTGCCAAAATGAAACAATAGAGAGAAATAAAAGGAAAGAAAAAAGAATACTAAAAACAGCAGAGATAAAAACGCTAAAAAAACTCGATAGTAAGACACTATGGGACAGGGTTAAAAGTACAGATATACGACGTAGATGTAAGATGGAGAACATCAAGGGCTGGGTAAAAAATAGAAGAGTAGAATGGAGCGATCATACTTGTATAAGCTGAATGACAACAAAAAGAGTAGCAAAAATATAGTAAAGACGATCAGTGGGAAGACCACAAAAACGATAGAACGACAACTAAACAGACAGGGCCCATGTGTACACAAAAAGAAGAAGAAGAAGTTTAATTTACATTGTATTTGCAGTTTACCTGTTATTCTTCTTCTTTGGTGCCGTGTCCGTATTCAGACGTTGGCCGTCATCATGCTTACAATTTCCTGAAACCTTTCTCTGTCGGCTGCTGCGCGAAATAATTCTTCTACTGTGAAACCACACCATTGTCTAATATTACGCAGCCATGAAAGTTTCTTTCGACCAATCCACTTTTCCTTGTATTATAAGGCGAAGTAAATGGTATTTGGGTCCTCTAATTATATGGCCGAAGTATTCTGTTTTTCTCCTCTTTTCTCTTGTTATTACCTGTTATTAAGGAAGCTATTAAATATATTATTTAAAAATATTTTACCATTTTCTATAAATTTTGCATTAATATTTTTCCCAAAAATTTTTTTTACATACTTAAACAGGTCCTTAATAATTACAAGGTAATAATTTATGAAAACATTGAAACCAACAAGAATTAAAAATTATAATGTAGTTGCACAATTAGCGCCAAATATATGCAGCTAATATTTCACCATAGCAGATTTTATGCTGATGTCACCTTGCGATTTTCATATTAAAAGGTATATTTTTCTGATTATAACACTTTTTACTTAAAAATATATATTTTTTTTATTTTTTAAATACAATTAAAGCCATACATTTATTCTTGCCCTGTATATACTATATTTTATAAGTTGTTCAAATTTTAACCCATAAGACTCACGATTATTATACCCATACGCGATTTTTAATAATATTAGTTTAACAATATTAGTAAATTAGAAAAAAATGTTTTTATAAAAAAGTTACAATAAAAAAAACAGTTCTGTATGTGTAAGAAATTTATAAAGGAATGTTAAGTAATTTACTTAAAAATTTAAAACGACGATTTCAAAATAAACAGACATACAGCACGACGACGTTTTAAATTGCATACATCAATCGTAAATTCAAATAATAAAACTGAAGTTATATCCATTTATGCAACGAAATGGTAGTAAGTCCATGGCAGCTCATAAATATATTGAAGTATCACACAAAATAGCCAGAATATTTTACGAGAAGCCCTATCTTAATATTCGAAATCAAACTAGTAAAATACCGTCCTTTACAAAAAGCAAAAGCTCATTCTCTGTATGAAAACCTGACACGAACCATGTCCGCAATAAAGCTCAATTTTACAACAATATGGTACGAATATTCTTGGTGTTGACTGGCTATTGAGGTATAAACAAATTTCCGTATCAAAATCTCTAGCACCTATCCTGTTTAAGAGAGGCGGCGCTTGCCAGTTTGGCCGATAACGCCCCCTTTCAGTCGCTCTTTCCAGAGCCAACATTCAGTTCCAAACACGCTTCGACCGCCGAGTTGAAAACGTCGACGGGATTGTGCCAGTGCCGGGTGCTAGAGTGTTAATGAATTTAATTAAAGTGAGTGATGGAGGAAAATCACGATTTAGCTGAAGAATATGTCCAGGATTTTGTTCTGGATCATTTAGAGGACATTACTGTGAAACGTGAGGACAAACGTCCATTTGTAGACGAAAATACGGGTTGGTTACAGTACGATGATTCTTCAAGTCGTGTATGTCGAAATCAGTGGGAAGATAGAAGAATTCCAACGCCGCATCCTGATTCTACTTATCAGCCACCTGTGTTAGTTAATATGACGCTTATGAATGATCCAGGTACACCGCCAGATACTCCTCCGACTAATTCTCCAATTCCCTGTAGGCCACAAGGTATAATGGACGAAATGATGTGGTTTCCTCCTACCATTAGAGCAGATCCACAACCCCTAGATTTACGTCCTCTTCATTGTATGGGAGGAGAACCAGATTGGGAGAGAAGGGACTACATTCCTTCTGGTATGATTTTAGATGCTCCCAATCACCACCACCATCACCACAACATCCATCAGAGACCCCAGTCGGTTTGTTCGGGTGTTAGTGCGCTCTCCCCAAGAATGAACACTAATAATAGTGGTTACTCTACTTGTTCTGAGGACTTAGGTTTAAGTGATGAGTTACTAATGAATCTATCAGTGCGAGAACTTAACAAACGGTTGCATGGGTGTCCAAGAGAAGAGATAGTTAGATTAAAACAGAAAAGAAGAACGCTCAAAAATCGAGGTTACGCACAAAATTGCAGATCGAAGAGGTTGCAGCAGAGGCAAGATTTGGAACAGACTAATAGATCCCTGCAGCACGAAATCCACCGGTTAAAATCCGAATTGGCCAGAGTGTCTCAAGAAAGAGATCTGTATAAACAGAAATTGCAGCTTGGCCGACCTCCTCATCTAAATGGTGGCCTTAATTCCGATGGACAGAGTTCACCAGAGTTCTACCTATGACATCATTTTCCGGGTCGAAGAAACTAGTAGTCTTCGACCCCACGGCGTGCTAAGACATTTCGGCATATACCGTGAAGTGTACAAAACGGGACTACAACCTCAAATGTTATTTGCACAATTTTATTTTGTATTCGTAGGATATGAGACTGTTCTCGTAAGAGATTTTTCATTTTTTCTCTGTTACACTCTCGAAACACTTCAAGTGAATTGCATATCTTTTTAATTAATCGTTTTTTCATTTTTATAATCTATTTTTATATAAAAACGGTTGTGTTATGGATGATCTATAAAATGTTACGTTTTGTAAATAAATTTACTTAATGTTTTTTTTCTGATTCATGTGTTAATAATTTTCAAATGCAACCTTCACATTGACCGTATTTTAATTTTTCTTATATCACATAAAATATTTACAATTTGACTACAGTTTAATAAAATCCTTAACTTAAACAGGTATTTTTCAATAATTATTATAGGATATTATTGAATTTAAATGGCGTCAAAATGTTGATGCGAAATCAATAAATCATCATTAAAATTACAATTTTTTTACTAAAAATTTAGTAAACGACTTAAATATTTATCAATATACTAGTATTTATATAATTTTTATTTTTTTTTTGTAAGTTTTTGACCTTTTGTGCAATTGTATTAGTTATTGTTTGTTTTTGATATGTTTAGTAAAGAAACTGTTTTCAATCTTTACTATACTATTGTGATGGTTAAAGCGTACCTGGATACATTCAAAGATCCAGTTGACATATTGTTTTTGTAAAACTAATAAATATATTTTATAATAAAACAGTTGAAAAGTTTTTATTCCCTCAGTAAAATTACTTATCCTTTTTATCACCAAAATTGTGGCTTATTTTCCTAATATCTTTATTTTTTATATCAAATTTATCAAAATCTTTTTGAAGAGTAATGCCATATTAGTTCTGCATAAAAGAATTATTATATTTTTTACTGTATATTTATACATGGGGAATACACCAGAATTAATTGTAATGAAAATTCCTGAAACTAAGTTGTAAATAATTGATATATCCTGTAAATTTTATTAATTCATCTTATATTAATCAATTTTTCTTTCTAATAGTTTTCATCTCTGCTATTTCTCATATTGCTGCCAGCTTCTATAGCTGAATAATGTAATGCCAAGATATTTAAACTCCATCACTTGTTATATTATCTGACTTTTCAGATCCAATTTAAATCTTAGTAAATTTGCTGTTGTAACCATGCATTTGGTCTTTTTTGGGTAAATTAACATGTTACATTTTTTGAAATTGGTGCAGCATAAGTTGTAAATCATCTTATTTTGAGAGAGTAGCATTGTGTCGTATGCAAAGCAGATTATTTTAAGTTGTTTTTCTTCCATTTGCTATCCTTTTTTATCTTATCTTATCTATTATCTTTTTTATTATTTGATCTATAATGAGGTTGAACAATAGAGGACTCTGAATCTCCCCGTCTTATATTATTGCCAGCTTCAGTTGCGCCAGTTAGTTCTTCTGCTTTTACTTATGTTGTTTTGATTATTCGTAGAGGTACCTCTCTTGTTTACAATAAGTGGATACCTACCGTGTTTTAATTTGACCCTGTTAAATGCCTTTTTAGGATCCACAAAACAGATATGCCGGTTTGTTGTATTCTAATGATTTCTCTTGCACTTGTCTCATAAATATAGCGTCGGTGTATGATCTTTCAGATCTAAAACCTTGTTCTTGTCTGTTAGGGTTAAAATTTAATTCAGTTTATCACTTTGGTTGTTAATTTTAGTGTTGTGTTTAATAAATTCATTCCTCTTTGCTTGATTTTTATTCTTATGATTAATCTGTTATGTTCTAGAATTTTTTTAAATTGTTTTAATAGTTGTTTGGTCGTATATGGTCTTCCGTACTTTAGAAGTTCATTCCTTGCAACTTGGTCCCTCCTTCACCTCTTTCTCCTCGATATTTATTTCTTCGTTTGTCGTCACTTCTAGTGTTGGTGTATCATTATCCTCACCTTTAGCAAATAATAATCGAAAGTAGTCCACCCCTATTTCCTTTTGAATGTTTTTGGTTTTTATTAGTTCCTCTATATCTTTTTTTGTCCTTTGATCATTCTACACATTTCTTTTTGTGTCCCGTAGAAGTCGTGTTTCATATTTTTTTAAAAGCTCTGCCAATGTACCCTTTTATTTGTCTAAATAAAATATTTGCTTCATTTCTGATTCGTTTATAATGGCTGTATGCCTGTTTTGATCTGTATTGTAAAAATGCTTCGTCTTTTCTTCACATTTTGTCTACACTTTCTTTTGAAACCATGGGGTTTATCTTTTTTGATATATTAGTGTTCTTTAGTTTCCTCTCTTCTAGTCATTCTGTTATATGTGATTCTGTGATGTCTAATTATAATTCTTTTTTAGTTTTCCTTTTCGATATTATCGTTTCCTAATATTTCATTTCCAGCAATCCTCTTTTATATTCTTTATCTTTAAAAGTATTCTGTGGATTGCGTATTTAATTCTTCTCTCATTTTTGTTTGTGTTATCTTGGTTGTAAAATATTTCATGATGATTCTTATTTTACATAATACTTGGCTATGGTCTCTACTTACATCTGCTGAGGCACCTTACGTCGATTATTTCTGATGGATGTATAATCTCTATGGGTTATAACATGATGTATGATAGATCTTTGCTCACGGGTGTTATTTAATGTACCTATATTTGTGTTGTATTTTTTGGTCAAAAAATGTGTGGTATAATAAGTTCGTTATTCATGCAAAAGTTAATCATCAGTTCTCCATTTTTATATCTAACACTCTCGTTATATTTTTGCTTAATTGCATATAATACTTGATTGCCTAGTCGAGCTTTAAAATCTCTCGATATTATCATCTTCCCTTTGACTGGATTTACTACTTTTAATTCGACGTAAAATGTTTCCCTTGTTGTTTGAGGCTTGTTATTTTATGGGCCGTATAATGATATGCAGGTATTCCTTCTACATTCTTAACTTTGCTGTTAATTGACACTGATGTGAGTATCAAAGTTATTAGTATATTTGGTGTATTAATAAGGCTACACCTTCTTTGGTTCCGTTTCTTTTGCTACTCCACTGCACATTAGTATGTATTCACCTAATTTTGATTACCATTTTCCTTCTTTGTGTGTTTCCTGTAGAGCGCAAATGCCTTTGTTTCTTGAATTGAGCGATCTTATATTTCATTTGGGTTTTGGATATTTTTCGCTTGTCGTTAATTATTGCTATAGTCGTCTATATACTATCAATCCGGTTTCTAAACTGCAAATTGTTTCTTTGAGCAGTATTCGTTTTTATTATTGATGCTGCATATTGTTTCTTTGAGCAGAAACCAGCAAGAAGACCATCTAGAAGTAATTTTATACTATAACCATTTGATTTCTTTCAGTCCAAAATAGAAACAGTCCTTCTTGACCCTGAAGATTCTATTTAAAGTTTAAAATGTAAGATTCCAATAATTGAGAGTATTGTTTTGATAATAATTGTCTTTTTAATTTGTGAATGAGGTACTTTGGTGCTTCTGCTATACTCTATCAGAAGCTTAAGCAGTATCCTGAAAGTCGACTGAACAAACTTTCTTTAATTCCAGTGCAAATTAAATTATATTATATAAAAGACATAGCAGGACTCATCAGAGCAACTGGGTAGAAGCCCTGAACGTTAAATCAAATCTTTTCCGTCAATAATTATATAGAGATTTCTATATTTCATAGAGACGCATTCAGCGCCATCTCAGAACAATCATAAAGTAGAAATTCCTAAATTTCTAGCTACCAGTAATTTATTTCTGTGTTTTTACTAAATCGAATGCTTATTGGAAGTCTATAATACATCTATCTATCTATAATAGATGAACTTTCTTCATAACTTCTTGACTGCTTGTATGGCATCTGTTATTGACTTACATATTGTGTTGTTGTACGGGGCGGAGGCATGGACGCTTACAGACGCCACTATTAAAAAACTTGAAGCATTTGAGATGTGGCTTTATAAAAGAATGCTGAGAATATCATGGACAGCAAGGATCACGAACAAGGAAGTTCTAGGAAAAATGAAAAAGGAACCAGAGATTGTGTTTACGATCAAACGCATAAAATTGCAATATCTGGGACACGTTATGAGAAATCAGCACCGTTACTCCCTGCTACAGTCTATATTGCAAGGTAAAGTCAAAGGTAAGCGAGGACCCGGTAGAAGGAAAATATCATGGCTGCGGAATTTAAGAACATGGTTTAAGAAAACCTCAACGGAGCTGTTTCGAGCCGCAGCGAGCAAGGTATGATTTTATGATTGCCAATATGATTTCCAACATCCGAAACGGTTAGGAACCAGAAGAATAAGATTGACTTACACTTAATAAATCCTCGTTGATACTGTCCTAATGTATTGGTCCGGCTTTACCGTTGCGGCTACTATTTATACTTTTCTCAATTTCGTCTTTCGTTGTTATTCTATTTCTATGGTTCTTCTTTACGTGCCATCTACGCGACGGAGTTAGCAATCATTATAGCTATTCTGATCCTAGAGTTGCGCTCTGAATAGTTCGATGAGTGCATCCATACCATTCCCTCAAGTTACGCAACCATGAGATTCTTGTCCTTCCAATACTTTTTTTGCCTTGGACTTTCCCTTGTATAATTCATTGAAGTATGTTGTATCTCTTATTACGCATAACATGCTCCAGGTATTGCAGCTTTCGTGTCATGAATATTTCCATTTTTTTGTTGACTCTTCTCATGACTTCGTTGTTTGTTACATGGTGAGTCCATGATATCTTCAGGATTCTTCTATACATCCACAATTCAAATGCTTCCAACTTTTTAGTATTAGTCGATTGTCCATGCTTCTATCCCATAAAGCAGAGTAGAGAAAATATAACACCTTGCCAGCCTAACTCTCAAGTCTAATTCCAGTTCTCTTGCACAAAGTACCTTTCTCATTTTATCGAGCTTTATTCATGCTTTCTCTATTCGAACTTTGATTTCTTAGGAGTAATCGTTTGTGTGATTAGTGATTGTGCTAAGATAATTGTAGTTTTCAACTTGTTCTAAAGTTTTACCGTTAATTGTCAAGCTTTCATCATTATTTTGGGTTTTTGATATCCTCCTTTGATAAATTTAGTTTTCTTGATATTTATTGATAATTCATATCCTTCTCCATACTCAACTATCTTATAACTTATTCATTAATTTTGAAGGTTTGGAGGTTGTTTGCTATTATGATAATATCGTCCGCATATCTAATGTTGTTAATTGGTGTTTCATTGACCTTTATTCCTACTGTTTCTCCCTCAAGAGCTCTTTTCCTAATTTGTTCAGAGTTCAGAGTATGTACTGAATAGTAGTGGTGACAATACACACCCCTGTCGCACTCCTCTTTTAATTTCGAACGCTTCTGATGTGTGTT